CTGCAGATCAAAATGTCGGTAGGAATTTGGAAACATACAACCGTTTAAAAAAAATATATAAAACAACATATTTTTTGACAACAATTTTATTTTAGATTCTCGGGAATGAAGATATAGTCTCTATATCAGAAGAACCTAAATCTGCAGCAGACTTTGTGAATGATATGTATTCGAACAGCGAATTTTTGTCATTTATACATAAATTTTAATATAAATCTCTGCGTTTAGCGATTAATGGATTCACACGAAATTACTTCAAAAATCGGTCCAACATTTGAACTGAATAGATATTTTTATATAGTTTTATAACATTTACACTTATTTTTCGATTTATTATCTTATAATATCTGTTATAGAAATTTTTTTTATAGTTTTCTAGGACACATTTTTATAACTTTTACAGTTATTTTTTTATTTTTATAAAGTTTCAATAAAATATATTTTTTTTGTTTAAATCACATTATTAAAATTAAAAATATCACTTGATTTAAATCACGATTTAAATCATGATTTAAATCATTTGATTTAAATCATGCCAACCCTGTTTAGAACACAAAATATCTGACTTCATGTTAATGTTCTTCTGTATGTAAATTATTGTAATGTTTTTTTTTATGTATTAGAGATAAAATGAATACAGATTATACTAATATAACAAAAATAATACATAGTAGTCAGCAAATAATAAACAAAATTATACTATTTCATAATATACAGATAAATATTTTGTGGAAAAATGCGACATATGCCGCACGTTCAGAGTTCAACTCTCTTATTATTCAACGAGCCTTCGAACACGTGCTCGACACGAGTTCCCACGGTCAGAACGGATACGGTCCGCCAGCCGTGCGATTGTGATTTGATAACGAACCTACGTGCCTTATATTTTCTTTCGTCTCTTTCTTTACTGTTTGCTTACTAGTCCGTATACAAGGTGACGACAATTTGAAAAGTAGCAATTGGAAATATAAATATACAGAAAATCAGTACGATGAATAAATAATTAATACAGAAAGGTATTAAGAGTCTATTACGCTGTACTGTTCGGATCGCTCTCAGGAGTCGGGTAAAGCGGGTGTGTGGCCGAAGGAAATACATATTATATTTCAGAAATCTCCCTAAGGCTTAGCCCGATCCTGTGGTGTTAAGTCACATCCAAAATTCCAACCACACGTGCTTTGATTAAGCCTTGATTAAGGTTTGCAGAGCTTAGCATTTGCCATAAAGTGGCAAGCAATTTGTTCCAAAACCATATAAATTATATATCACTGTAATCACAAAACTTCAATTTATTTCCGTATTGTAACGGAATTTTAAATTATGTCTTTATTTTCGAGAAAATTTAGTCCAAACATAAGGAATATTTTGTTGATGTTTGACCATCAAAATCTTAAAAATAAAGAAGTTGTCTAAAAATGTGCCACAATACGGATATAGTATAATCCTTTATCTTTAATTTCCTACTTAATTTCTGTAAAAACACCTAATATCCAGTTTTACACAAAACGTTAAAGCCGAACGCTTATTGTGCTACCATTTCGGACTAGTGACTCTAAGTTAAAAACAGAAGAAAAATAACTCAGAGTCTCTAACTTATAAACCAGGTCTGTTTGAGAATAATGGACGCCTTTTTTAGAAAGGTATATTAGTCTAGTCAAATTGTACTCAAAAAAGCCTCTTCGGGGAAAGTTTTGGGGTGGTTCTGATTTCTTCTATTCGTTACGACTTTTGGGGTGGTGAATATTCGAATCTCAAGTTTGCTAACAAAATTTCGTGACGGAACATTGAAAAAACTGCAAAAAAGTGAAAATGATGAAAATTAGCGCTTTTTGGTTGTCTCCGCAAATGCCTACTTTTTCTACTCCATAACTCCTAATTTATTAATTATTAATCGCTGGTATCGATCTTGGAGCGTAATTAATAATAAAGTCTAGTATAGTTTTTTTTAGTTTTAAGTTGAATATCACGTAGATATAGCGATTTCAATAATTATACCACTTTCAACAAGAGAAAAATCAAATTTATATTATATTTAACTAATATTTTATGTATTGCATACCATTCACAGCGCATTGGGTGCTAATCAAGAGCATAGAAAGATCGAGAAGAATGCAAAAAAGTAATCTGCAGCAATATCATTTACGGAGTCGAGTAAAGTTTTGTGTCTGCCCCCTCCTCCAGGGGAGGGGGCAGACAAAGAACTTTACTCAAAGTACATATACCCTGGAATCGCTTCGACAAAATAAATTAATAACATCGTTTTCCATGACTGAACATAAGGCTTGGGGCTTGAGCCCCCGATCCGTGGATCCGTCACTGGTTCCAGGTTCTAGTGAATTTCGGGTTCGATACTTCAGTACATTTCTTCCAAGTGCAAGAATAGCTGTCGAATGCAATTGCGAATGTAGAACCAGTAGGACTCAAGCAACAAAATTATAAATTTAAGTTGCTGTATGAATGTAATATTTTAACAGTAGGTATTATTTTTCAAGATATTTTGTTGTAACATAAGTTTTTTATAAAGGAATTTGTATACGTCCAAACTTTTCAGTAAAAAAAAATCGATTTTTAAGCGATACCTCACAATATGCTAATCTTGAGCAAGCGCTAGAGCCCAATCGGATTGTTTGAAGAAACAAAACTCAAGTTTGTAGGAAAGTTTTTTTTTAATTTTGTATTCCGTAATTGTTTCCGAAAAAAATATATATTCACAGTTATAAGAAGAAAGAAAGTTTTTTTTGCGTTTTTTTCATGTTCCGTTATAAATATGTATAGGTAATTTCAGATTTTGAGCATCTAAGAGTAAATACTTAGGACTTTAGTTTTGGTAGCGGTTGATTAGATATTATTCATATATAAGATGTTTAATAAAAATAGTAAGAAAGTCTAAAAATATACGACGACTATTACACGGTACAAGAAGCAGTGATTAAGTCCACGCTGATAGTACCGTGTATGGGTGAGTAATTATGCAACGCTAAACCCGCATATGTTAGGTTTCCAAGTATTTCCTTTTGATCGTGGGAACGCGTTGCCAGTCTGCTTAGCACGCGTTCATATTAACTGGTTTCTCATTAAGTTAGCTTTATTATGGCTTTGTTTATACATTAGATTGTGTTATGTGGTAGGAGACATTAAAACATCTTTCAAAAACGGAAATTTCTATTTGTATTATTTATATATTACTAAATTACTAAAGCTCTATAATGCATACATATTTTTGTATTATACAGAGTGGCCTAGTGTTCCACATATAACGTTAGACTGGGGCAGAGATGCCCAGGTGGCATTGTCACTTTAAGGAATTTTCTCAAGCCTCAAGAGGTAATCAATAGATATCAGCGAACAAAATGCAGAAAACAACCAATATACTTACAAGAAATAAAGCCAGCAATATTTTTACTTAAAAGCCAAGCTGATATATTTTTTTTATTTATGCTGGGGCCACACTAACGTTAACGTGTAACGTTCATATCGCAATAAATATCGCGTCAAAAATAATGGATTAAATTACGCGGTAAAATTTAATGGCTACACTTGTATTTGGAGCACAATTTACAGATTTTAGGGGGGGTAATTTCTTTTAGGGGGCTGTAATTTCTTGGAAACATTCTGCCATTTTTGTTTTGTTATAGTTTTTTTTTCAATATTGTTTATAGAAGTTGTCTATAAATGTGTTTCAATACGGATATAGTGTAATCCCTTATCTTTAATTTCCTTCTTCATTTGTGTGAAAATACCTAGCCAGTTTTGCATAAAACCAACGATAAAACGTTAAATGCCGAACATTTAAGGTCTGTTCTTAGAAGAATTCCTGACGAGTCAGCACGTTTCTTATTGGTTCATTGGTTGAAATATGTAGAAACCAGACTAACAATCAGGTTTCTACGCATTTTAAACAATGAGAAACTTTCAGAGACTAGTCAGGGATTCTTCTGAGAACAGACCTTATGTATTTTGTTATTTTTTCGGAGTAGTGAAATAGAAATTTCTAGCAGCCGGTTAACTTAAAAATTATTTTCTGTATATTTTGCCCAAAAGCAAATACTAAATGATCAATTAGATTTACGCGTGGACGTTCACAGTTGATACAGTTAATACATAGATACAGGGTGAGTCTTAAATAAGTGCAAATATTTTTAGGGCTGGTAGATCTCGATAAAAGAAACATATTTTCTTTTCACCGTTTTTCAAATAAGTCCAAAATAACCGAGTTCTTTTCCTTTGAAAATTTCCAAGAAATGATTTTTTGCTTAAATGTTGAGAACCACTGGATATTTTCTGGGTTTTCTTTCTCCTAAATTTAATCTGTTACCTATGTTGCCATATTATCAAGAAATTATGGTTTTTAATTAAAAACTAAAAAAATCTCCAAAATTTTTTCTAAAAAACTACAATTTCCAAATTTTTTTTTCGCCAAAGAAACCTCATATTCGGGGTGGAAACATACTATTAGAAGTATTTGTTTCTTAATTCTGTTATAGTTCAGAGAGAAGAAAATTTCGTGCTTGATCATAAATTTTTTGATCATATCGGATTTATTCTTTTATGTATAAAGCTACTGATGGTTTAACCTAGAATGGAATACAGATAAATTTCGAATTGTTCTTTATTTGCACAAATATGCCTAATTCATTGGAGTAGACGTTCATCTTAAGGAGCATAACTTGTTACTACTACTATAAGTCATTACTTCTCAGAATAAAAAATACGTACGAGGTACTTAATTGTTGACGTATTTGTATAATTTTATTAAATAAATCTGATAGGGTAATCTTATAAAATAAATAATCTCAAAATTAATTCTTTAATAATTTTGAACAAAATTAATAAACATGTAAATCTATTAAGTTTTTAAAGTTATCTTTAATATGAATATTTTAATTTATTTCTAATGTGTTTAAAATTTAGAGTTTTTGATGATTATTTTTAGTAGACATATTAGAATTAGGTATCTGGAAATATAGTAAAAATAAATGTCGAAAATAAAACAACATATATATTTAGTAATTATTTTTTATTAAAATTTATTAAAAATTTCACATACGTATCACAGTTTGAACATGCAATACATTGTGGTATTTTTTTACATTTTAACGTGAACCACAACAATCGTTACATTATAAAAATCACAGGTACCAGCATTATATAAATATCACAATCTTTTATAAAATCTACTTTTCAAACACAACATTTTTACTTAAACTAGGTACTTAAAACTAAATTTAAAGCTTTGTCATTTAAAAGGAGATCAACCCTTGTATCTTAATAGCTATTGAGCAATGCACTATACGAAAATATAATTAAACGTATATGATGACACTATTATGAAAGACAACAGGAGTATGAGATTTATAACAAGATATCTATATAATAATTAACAGTTTTTCAGGAAAATTACCACGGCCGCCACACTTTTTCGTCTTGAGAAGCTACTTTCAAAAGTCCAGAAGTGGTACAATCGATGGGCTGAGCTGGAGAGGGCGTATGTCTCAAAGAAGACGTTGATGAGGCTGGAGTTAGAGGTAACGTATATGGAGTGGAAGATCCATCCAGATTTGGAGAACCGGGAGGCGTATATGATCCTTGCACGTTTATAACTAAGGGCGACACTTTGTCCATTTCATTGAGCCGATGGCCCAGATGTGTCATGAGTTTGGTTCCTAGATGAACGTCTACTCCTGGAGTGGCAGCCAAACAACGGGACACTTCGTTGGCACAATGCGTATATCCTGCACGAAAACGATCAGCGTCGATAACAGGATTGTAGGACAAACGTTGCTGGCGGCGAAGCTTGTGAAGGTGACGCACAGTGAGCTCCAGGATATCTGCTTTTTCGAGCTTGGATACGTTCTCGCCTTCGCTCTGAAGGGCTGTGACCATAAGCTCTTTCAATTCGTCCAGGCATCTGTTGATACGAGCACGTCTTTTTCTTTCTAGCATCGGCTTCATAACTTTCCGATACTGATATGTTCTGGAAATGGGCTGAGGATCTTCGACGGCGGTCGACATCATGGTCGCGACGATCGGAAAACGAAACAAAATTGAACACAAACGAAAACTTGAGCTGCAAAGCACGACGCAACTGCCGAAGCGGTCAGACGCAAAATGAGGCGAGCGGTGGTAGGGTGCGCTTTTATAAGGGCCTCAGGTGTGCGGTTATGACGACGTCGCCGCGGTCTCTGATCGTGGGAAAAGCAGGAGCTCGATCGTTCCCACACTTGGGCCACCTGTGGCAACGTTAGCGCGTGCAGCTGCCCGCGCGCTATCTCTGTCACGGCGGCGTCCTTGTCGCACACGGCCGCCAGTAACGGATTAGCGGCGCGCGTTTTTTTTTTCTTCTCTTTCGTTTCCGACACGAGTTCGGCGGACGGCGACCGGGGCTCGCGCATTGCTCGCGATGGACCGAGCCGCGCCATACCCGTTTTAATTAATTCCAACATTATGCTTTTAATTATATTAAAAAGTCGGTTTTATTATATTTTTTATGGATTCGTTGCTTTTGTAGAGTAACAGAAATAAAACCAAATAGTAGATATATTATAATCTCTTTTTCCTGTCCGCTTTAATATCTATATGTTTAAACAATTTTAACCTTAGAATCAGAGATGGGCAAACACCCAGTATATTGAAATTTGTGTTGGAATATTTACAAAAATTAATTTATATGTTTTATAAACACAGATATATATTTAGACCAACGCCCAGTATATTATGTCTTTAGTTAATATTCGATGATGTTAAGGTTTAGAGCACGAAAGCTACGAATGCATTAAGTTAGAATAATATAAACAAAAACTGCTATGTAAGACGATCGACCCTTTACAGCTGTGCCTAAATGCGTTCTTTGTTAGTGAAGTTGTACGTATTTTAAATAGTTAGAATTCAGTTGCATAGATACCTTCCGAGTGCGTGTTTCTAGTAAAAGAATAAATAATTCTTTATTAAAATCGGCACTGTATTATTAATCCCATAACCCAATAATTTGGGTAAATACCCGATGTTTTGCATCCGGTAGATACCCAATGGGTAAATACTAGAGATGGGTAGGTCCGGATGGATATGCATCCACGGAGCTCTCTCTGGTGCCAGTACTGATGGATGCAGATCCTACTTTATATAGACCCCTATTCGCGGAACTGCATTGCTGACAGTCAACCGACCACTTTATTGGCCGGTTGACTGTCAGTTGACTGTCTGTAAATTCAAGAAATTATAAAATGTGTTATGATCGTACAGGGTTCGTCAAATGAATCAGCAGACGAGGACTACGTTCAAATTTAGTTTTAGTTTTTTTTTGTAAAAAATGCCATTTTATTTCTTAAAAATATTATCTGTTAAATGCCGATCATTTTGCTTCTAGCATGAAACAATCCCTATGCGGCAGTCTCGACTATCTTTTATTAGTATGTAAACTTCGTAATGATTTGCCTCATAGTCAGAAATTTGAACTTTAGGGCACCTCTACTAAATAAAGAGAACAGCCAAACTCTTTTAAAATACCGGGTCTACCCATCTCTAGTAAATACTATATACACTACTACGTATATTGGATTTGAGTAAATACTATATACCTAGTATATACCCAAGTATGTTTATTTTATTAATTTAACGTATTATAAGAAATTTTAATAACAATTTGTTGTTATCTAATTTATTTAACATTCCGTTTAGGTAAGGTAAATAATCAAATTTTACAATGGGGTTTTCCTACAGAATGTAGATACTCCAAGATGTACTTTCAATGGGTATAGAGTATATCATACCCAAATTTGTTTATTATACCTATTGGGTATTTACCCACCGCCCAAGCAGTAACTTAGAATACTAATTATAAATTATAATTATTAAAAATAATAATTATTAAAATTAAAAAAAATCTAGCGGTGAGCCGCAATTAAAACGAAAATAATATTTGCAATGAGAGATGCAGAACCTTATAACAATGTATACTATATTTAACCAACATCAATACATTTAAACTATATCTAATAACAACAAAAACAAATAGCAAACCGTCAGCAAACCGAGACATGAGATTTTGCTACATGTGTTGGACATATCGACAGTCTTCTGTTATGAACAGACTGCAAAAATTTGCTGATAACTTCAGCGTTCTGGGGCGGTGCCTCGTCTTGCTGGAAAAATATGTTTTTGAGTTCCATTAGGGGTACTTTTTCAATAAAGGATCCAAAGCCTACTAGTTAAAAGTGCCTACTTTCAATAGTTAACAGTATTTATAATTTCATATGGTTTGTTCCAGACATTCCAAATACTATTTCAGATACTTATAGCTTATAGCTTGGTAAGATTGGCAAATAGCATGCATTCATTAGTCGTTAGGTAGACACACTTATTTATTCCTAACCCTACAGACTCGGGGCAGTTAGGTATAGTACCATTAGTATTTTGCATAAAAAATTTAGGGATACAAATAACTTTAAAGCTAAAAAAATTGAGGTCAATTTATCAGTATCTATTATTGATTTTACGACCATACTAGATGAAAAAAATTATCTTGGTAACTGTGTCCAAAAATTCCAACTTTTGTTTTCAAATCTGAAAAACAGAAATCCAAAAACGCTTTGTATCAATTTCGTTCAAAACATAAATAAAAAAGTAAATAAATTTTAATTTTTAGACAAAAATACAATTTAAATACCTAAAATCTTCATAAAACAGTTCTTATTTAAAGAACATACAATAGACACGTCATAAGTATTGTGTTGTGTCAGTGTTGTTTTCCAGAAGATACTTGTGGATTAATGTAACATTGTGCAATAATACTACCTAATTTAAAATCGAATCATCTGTATACACTAGCGAGATAGTTAGATATTTCCTAGTATTCAACAATATTTGTAAGGGTTATATTATGAGTAATTAAGGTTTGTTAGTAAAAAACTCATGGACGTTCTCCGATTATTTAATATATAAAATTCTAAGTGCTCTCGTGTCATCAAGCTATGACTTTATTTCTCCGATTTTGATGAAATTTATTTTTATTGTTGACATTTTTAGGAAAATGCATTCTTCGTAAAATTTCTTTTATACTTTTTCAGGTTTCCATTCCATTTTAGAGAAAATTAAAAAAAAAAAATAAAAATATGGTTCAATTTTCAAGTCCTAAAAATCAAAAGACATGTCTATGGTAATACCGTATGATCGAAAAAAAATGGCGTCAGCGATGGCTATGAAATGAAGATCGCTGTCATTTTATATGTAAAATTACATGGGAAATGTCACCGATCGTCATTTCCAAGCCAACTGGACGCCGTTTTTTTTCGATCATACGGTATAATTTCGATTTCATTCTATGATTAGATGGTTATTATTAACTTTCGATAACGTAATATTTTTTACAGTTGGTAAAGTTAGGGTCGGACTGGGCCAGAGGGGCCCGGGTTGATTTTTTTTGCTTATTTTTTTGCCAACTTTTCCCTATCGATTTGTTGTTAGTGTTTGAAGTTAGGAAACTACCCGTAATGCAATGCAAACCATGATGCAATGCAAATGTAAATATTGTTAATCTAAAAAAAATTTGGTGATAACCTCAGAATATTACTGTCACTTTGTTCTGTTTTATTTCTATTTAAGAATAATTAATGAATTAGTTTACAATAGGTTCTGAGACAGGGGGGCCTACGAAGGCTGATGAGGCCCGGCTGACAACCCTGACTATATAACCAGTCCGACCGTACCCTGGTTAAAGTAGGTATCAAATTTTCCGATAACTATTATCACCCTTTCCTGTCATTGAACCAAATAAATTTTGTGCTTCTTTAACATTTTAACACAGCAAAAACTATGACGTTAATTAAAATTTTATCAATAACAATTTATCAAAGAACGAAAAAAAGTAAAGTAAAGTAAAGATTTCAGTTAACAGTCTCCTTTTTGCTGCCAGGGACGGGGCCTACTTTGTTTACGCGGAATCCGAACCGCGGTCCTCGGCCATATCATGGTCAATTGCCTACCGACTTGCAAGTGTCTAAATCACTCACGTGATATCCGATCTCATCCGACCTCGAACCTCGTTCAGGGTCTATTTTCCGATGCAAAAAAAGACTCTCATTTTGTTTCAAATTACAAAACTTTTATCAAAGGGTAGATGCTCTATTCTGTCCCTAGTTAGCTGAACTCATAGGAAGGTTTGTAGCTGCTTGTCCCACTGTTAAATACGGTTGGGTTCATTTGAAAATTTTAGAACGAAAAAAGTATTTAGCATTACGCTCTAATAACCATGTGTATGAGTCGTCCCTATTAATTTCAAATTCGATGAAATCTTAGCTAAATTGGTGGTATCACACTTTAAGCCAGAACATAGGTAGGCCTATTTATTGTAGTAGATACAGACTTTGCTCTTGAAATGTATAGGGACGCTTCTCTAACAGATTGGGGTGCCCGTTGTTTAAATAAAGTGACACACGGTTTTAGGAATGTAGATGAGAGTAAAAAGCATATTAATTATTTGGAATTGCTAGCAGTATTTAATGCACTTAGATCGTTTGCCTCAGATTATTTTAATTGTACAATTTTGCTTAGAGTAGATAATGTAAACAGCCATAGCGTGCATCAATCGTATGGGTAGTGTAAAGTTTAATTAATTTAAAGTAAGAGTCTTAATAATATCACAAAACAAATTTGGTTGTGGTGTGAGAATAGAAATATTTTCATAGTTGTAATTAATACTTGTAATTAGTTTTTAGGTACTTATGTTCTTTATTAGTATATACATAATTATTAGTGCTAGTTATTAAGCAAAATACTGTTTTTTGGATATTGTCTTTTTCCCAAATATATTTTTCGTGGAAATTCTATATCCGTTTCTTTGAACATCTACAAGTAGTTATTGTAATTCGAGAACAGCAATACGAAGTATAATTAAATTATCAATTGACTTACCTTAAGGAAAATTGATTCATATACGAGTATTGCCGTTCGAAGAATTACAAACCCATTCCATCATCATTAGCGTAACTAGCAATTTATCCTGGGGTGGGCCTGGGGGGCCTGGGTTTGAGCCCAGGGGGGACCTAAGGCTTTTGTTTTTTTTTATCCTGTGGTGGGCCTGGGTGGGGCCTGGGGTTGAGCCCAGGGGGTCCTAAGGCTTTTGTTTTTTTTTTAAATGACAAATAATATTAAAAAACATGAATTTTTTTGAATAAAACGTTTACAAGAATTTCTCT